TCTCTCTCTCTCTCCCCATCTCTCTCTGTCTTCTGTGTTATCTTGTCTGTCAAGCATTCTCTTTCTACCCTTGACGCCCTTCAACCTTCCACGCTCGACCTTTATTAACACGTTTGAGTGTAAAGAGCTGAGTTAATACTGATGTGTATAATATGATTAAACACACCACGTATACCCAGCTCGGGTGACAATCGCGTTGACTTCCGAGCGACGCTGATTGGTTCTGGTGGCCAGGATTCATACACGATGTAGATCTACTAGAGGGAAAAAAAGTGTGACTTTTTTTTCTCACTGTTGGGTTTTTTCTTTCTACCGCTCCCCCTCACCTATATATATCCTGCCCCCCCCCTCCCCATTTCTCTTGCTTCTATTTTATTTTCACTGTCTTTAGTGATTGACCAGCATTCACATCCATAGAAGGGTTGGCCATACATAGCATTACAGAACTTTCATTTTTGTGGTCATTGAGATGTTTCTATTTTTCAGGATCGATTTGGGCTCATTATTGAAACTAGCCTTAGCCATGATTGTAATTCTCTGGGTTTTATTTCTGTGGAACATTTGACATCAGATGTAATTGTATTACATTCTAGATATTTAAACTGTTGGACTTGTTTGATCTTTTCACCTTTGCTAATGAGAAATTACAACTTAGGCGTTGCTGCTTTTTTTTTTTTTTATCATTCTGTTTTATTTACATTCAACACTAATTATCCTTTACGTTCACCTTCTGTTACAACAGCAGTTTATCTAGAAGTAATTAAAGGTCCTTCTATTATTATTGCATATTATTATGCTTGTGTGATTGTTCAAAGTTTGGCTTTTTTGCTTGAAAATTAAAATGTACACCCCCCCCCCGGCCCCACAACAACAACAACATAAAAAACCCCTAAACAAAACAAACAAAACAAAAGTTGTCAGATTTTAAATTTATTCGGAAGCCTAAATTTCATTGTTTCACCGTCACTCCTTCTGATCAAATAAAGAAATTCACAGCTACCTCGAAAGACGTTGAAACATTACAATTTTATGTTCTTTGTTGTACCCGTCGTATAGGCCTACAGGCCTACCCACTTAAACTATAAAGCACACTGTAAGTCTCCCCTCCCACGCCACCTCCCATGTACCCCACCCCCTCTCTCACCCTGTGTTGGACATGCAGTCCCCATGGCATGCGATCAGCTTGGCTAGATGCCGCTTTTTCAAAATTACTTAAAAATTTTTATTTTTTTTACATGAGACATATTTATATGGAGTTGGATTAGAGACACAGACTCAGATAAGATGCAACCGATTTGTTCTATTTGCTTGAAACAAACACGTAGTCTATTCAAACAAGTTAAAAACAAAACCCCCCCCCAAAAAAAGGGGGGGTGGGGCAGGACGGTAGATTGTTAATTCATTGACATCTCTATGAATACCTCATAATGTATTCAGCGAAAATTCTACTTTCAGTTTTGATATCTAGATCTAGATGATCTATTCCAAAACTGAAAGTAGAATTTTCGCTGATAGAGCCTCATGAATAAATTATCATTCATTTGGCGTGAAGTACAGCGCATGCGCGTTTCTATTTGATCGGCCTTTTTCGTGCAAGTCCGTAAATAATTGACAAATTAGTAAATAGTACGGCCTTTATCCAGAGTTTGATATAAATATTATTTTCTAAAGAGACATTCTAAAGATCAAGCAATGCCACAATACAATAAAGAATAATGGTCTAGAAAAAACAATTGCAATTTCTAGATTTGTTTTCCCATGAGCCTCTATTGAAGCGCTACAGCAGCCATCTTCTTACGAGAAACCCGGGGAGCTCGGCGGGGAATTTATTTCCTCAAGTAAGATCTTTTCTTGAGGGACTGGCGTTCCTATGCATCAGGAACAATGAGCCAGTACATCCACGTAGCCGAAGAAGAGGGCGAGGAGCCCATGGAGGTACCTAGTGAGGATGATGGAACACTTTTGTTGACGACGTTGTCAGCTCAGTTCCCCGGGGCCTGTGGATTGAAATATCGAAACCACGAAACAGGCACTCTGCGAGGGATCAGACTGTCAGACGGTCGACTTTATCCTCCGGATACTGACTGGGGAAGGCATCTTTACATTGCAGTGTTTCCTAAAGGTCAGTAATAGCTAAATTTTGTGCATTTAAGTACTTTCTACTAGCAGTATTCATTCGGTTTCCCTCCCCCCCTCACAGTACAGCGCCCCCTGTGGTCAAGCCCACTTTTTGCTCGCAAAGCTTTCCTGCATCGTTTCCTCTAAAAGGAGGTGTCATCTTGCTGTTGCTTTTCATTAAATGCTATTCGTACCTCTGCATATTACATTGGGTAAACAAGTTAGATATAGGATGGGTGTGGTTTGAAAGAGGCAGATTTCTTGATTTTAGTTCCTTCAGTTATGATGAATTGAAGGAGCCATGGAATAATTAGGTCGTAGCAAGGGGAAGTAACTCTCGCACATGGATACTGATGAAGGAGTAAAGTTTTGAGGTAAATGCATAGCCTACTCTTTCGTTGTCAGGATCGTCTGGCACGATTTCCGCTCGTCCTTCAAACTTATTATCGCTTGTTGACGCCTTTCATTACTGAGTGAATTAACCTTCTATTCATAGCATTGAAACCATAAACTCATGCTGCAGCCTACTTGCACATTCCATGACTTTAACTTTTTAGGCTAACAAAACTTTTCTAGAATCTAGAATATCTAATCTAGATTCTAGATCTAGATTCTAGATCTAAAATCTAGATCTAGATCTAGATCTAGATCTAGATCTAGATCTAGATATCTAAATCTAGAATCTAGAATCTAGATTTAGATCTAGAATCTAGAAATCTAGATTAGATCTAATCTAGATTTAGATTAGATAGATTTAGATCTGCTAGTCTAAGGCAAGGCTATACTATATACTATAGAATTTATGTTGTCACTATCACTAGGCTATTGAGCCTATTGTGTCTTGTACTGTAGTAGATTTAGTACTGTTGTGTCAGTTACTGTACTGTGTGATGTCTGCAATAAAGCCAAAGCCTGTGACTGTCTGTGTAGTAGACTAGGCCTTGTGAATTTGAATCTAATGTCACTAATGACTAATGAATAACAGCACTGGAAAAAAATCTTGAGTTGCTGCCATTGTTACAATTGGTTGTTTTTTTTGGCCGACTCTATTTCTCCGTACGGTTTCTGTTCTCGAGATTTGTTGATAATAATTGCGAATGGAGTGGCCCGTGTGTGTGTGTATGCGCGTGTGTGTGTGTGAGTGCATGTGTGTGTGTGAGGTGTATAGGCCTAAGGTGTGAACGAGGCATGAGGGGGGGGGGGGGGGGGCGTGGATGGATTTTTTTTTTTACATGAAGGATTTTATTTTTTACTGGATGACTAAATGCGAAATAGGTTACTGCCAAGGTCATAAGTCTTGTTTTCTCACATTACCTTTTGAAGGTATTTTCAAATGAAGTATAGTCAGGGAACGTTGCCCCAACCACAACTGAAGTATCTAAATATTCAGACATCTAAAAATCTCTAGCTCCAAAAATTGAATTTGATCCAAAAAAATACTTCTTCCCAGTCCTCGCAGAGTGACAGAATGAAAGATGACGCCTAAATCTCGCAAATAACCCAAAAAATCTTGAGAACGGAAACCCTTCGGAGAAATAGAGTTCAAGTTTGTTTTCCCAAGCGTTTGGAGAAATAGTCACTTGGTTTTTTTTTAGGCCGGCACTATTTCTCCGAACGTTCGGGAAAATAAAGCTGGGCACTATTTCTCCGAACACTCTGAAATCACACCCTTTCCCGCATATTTCGGATAATAAAAATAAAATATAGATCTATAATTATATTATAGGCCTACCAAAGATTGTTCGTATACAATATGGTTCAATCGGTCCAAAAAATGTCCGTATTTATATAAAGAAATGCTACAGTTCCAAACAGTTTTTCGCTACAGATATGACGTGTGGCCTATGAAGGGTGCTGCTCTTAAACTTAATGTGTTGCGTTCACTCGTGAGCTGTCTAGATTTAGATCTATGGAGGGTTATTGATAACGACACATAGAGCTAGCATCTGCGTTTGTCGAGGCCGCGACCAATCAATCGTGGCTCGATTTTTTGGTCCCCGAAAAAGTCAAAAAAAAAGAAAAGAAAATGAAACTCTTTACTTTTGAAAGAAAGTTCACTTAGCTTCACTTCGTCTCTTTCTCACTTGTTGTCACCACGTTGATTTGTTGAATACGTTACAGTTACATACGATTTGTATTGCTGTTCCTCTTTTATTTTTCGTTCATTTTTCCCTCTTTGTGGTGTTATATTTTGTTGGTGTGTATTTTTTTTTCTTGTTATTGTTCTGATGTGTTGTTTTTCTATTAATTTTTTTTTGTTGGGGAAAGGGGGGGGGGGGTTGTATAGTGTAACGTCATTTAATTTGATGTTCCTACAAAGGGTATTGTGTAACGTCATTTAATTTGATGTTTCTACCTTCATTAGATTCTAAATATATATACCTGTATAGATTTAAATGTGCTATGTTAGAGCGTTCCACCAAAACCAAGTACATGTACTGACACTGGCAGGCCCCCTGTGTGTGGTTCCATAATTTCCATGCAATATCCTGTACTTTTTTAAAACAAATTACGCACATTTAGGGTTAAAACGGTCAATCTTCTTCGGACAGGTGGACACACGCCCTTATTTGTTAATTGTTGTGGTTGTTTCTGGGCTGTTCTAGTTTTGATTTCATTCTGTTGTGAAACCTTTCTTTTTCACGTTTTTACACTCATCTAAAAATCTCTAGACTAGATCTAGATCTAGCTCTTGAAAATTGAAATAGATCTAAACCCCAAAATTTGCTCCTTTTTTTTTTTAATGGACGATAACCGTCCACTCAATAGAAAAGAGGTTCAGATTTCTCCGTCTCTCGGGTGCCTCAGGCAGTACCCGCCTCGCTAAACCAGTGGGCACACGGCCGGAGGAGAAGCTGAGAACAGATACCACCTTTGATTTGCTCCTTCCCAGACCTCGCAGAATGACGGAATGAAAGTTGGCGCCGAACTCTCGCAAATAGGCAAACAATCACGACCAGAGCGGAAGCCGGAAACCGTTCGGAGAAATAAAGATCGGCACTATTTCTCCGAACGTTCGGAGAAATAGTCACTTCGTTTTTTTTACTCATGCACCCGTCTCATGAACATGTTTTATATAGCCTACTTTTTTGTATCTAGATCTAGTAGTATTTTGTATGTTGAACACAAATATGGCCTACATTTTTGCTGCATATCAATAGTTATTGAGTTATTGATGTTTGAAAGTAGTAATATTTGACTTGATTTTTGGCCACCTCTATTCTCACCCGGAGTGAGAATAGTGCAGGCGAGTCTTGTGGCTATGCTCACCCGGTGCGCGTTCACCAAATTTTGCGTTCACCCTAAACCACAGAATTCTACACTGTGATAACAGAAAAATTGTAGAATTCTGTGCCGTGAACAAACGTTCCATTACAACTGTAGCCTACTAAAAGCGTACAATTTTGTCTGTGGGCAGTGGAGAGAGAGAGAGAAAGAGAGAGAGGAGTAGCGCGAGAATTTCCGGGCCAAACAAAATGGCGACCCACGTAGTTCGGCTCGATTTGAAAAGTTAAATAGCCGTAGCATCTTTGTAGACAACCAAATTAATTTACTTTTGTGTTTTAACATCATTTTTTAACTTTGTTTTGGTCAATTTGATCGTCCACACCGATAGACAGTATTCAGAAAGAGACAGAGAGAGAGAGAAGAGGGGAGGAGTTGATCTTGCGAGAACTTCCGGGCGGGTGAGAATAGCCACTTTCTGATTTTAACACATTACACCCTAAAAGGGCCTGGACAGGAAGTCCATTCCTTGATCCTAAGCAAGGGGAAGGAACCCACCTCCCGCGAATACAAACGTTTAAAAAAACACATTTTAAAAATACTAAACAAATTCCAAAAATCCCGAAAAAAATAAAAGATGAAAAGAAAAATTAATGCAGTTTCAGAAAAATATAACATATGTATGCTCAAACTGTTGGAATTGTTCTAACTTTAGTTCAATCATGGTGTCCGACCCGTCACTCTCACTCTCAGCCTCGCGGTCGGGCCCTAGATCTAAATTGTATATTTTCTACATATCTAATCAATCTGAGTGGCCCCAAACTCTTGCTACCATGTTTTCATCAAAATCCGAGTCATCTGATTTGTCAAATTAAATGCTTGTTTTTGTTCAAATTCATCGTTATTTCCTTTTTCGAACTCAATTGTGTCGCTTTTCAACAAGTCGAGACCCCTTCTAAGTGTCAGTAAGGCGATTGCACTTTGATCTGCTCTAATACTACAACTATCTGGCCAAAAAATTTTTGTTTCTGTGTCAAACGAAAGAAGAAACTTTTTGCAACAACTATGCAAATCAAAATCTCGGCCCCAGAGTCTCATCAAGGCGAGACTTCGTTTTTAAAGACGCTAGGTCAGCGCGGGTGAGATCGGGTTGAGCGTGGAAGAAAATTCCCTGGCGAGTTAGGGTGTAATGTGTTAACAACATGGGGGGTGCCCCCTCTGACCTAAAAAGAATCTGGGGGGTTTCACAATGATTTGATGTTTTGGCAATTAGGATTTTATTTGAAAACAATTGATTTGCAATGGTTCTAGTGGCCATATGTGTGTTCAATAGCAAAATGTATGGCAGTTTAGCCCACAAATCAAAGCATCTGTGTGCGGGTGCATATAAGTAAACATTAACCCAATTGTATGCTACTTTTTACTGAACTGTACTGTAGGTCTGACCCTTCCTTGTTTGTGTGGGTGGTTGGCGGGTGCTCTGGTGTGGTTTGCTCCTTTTTTCCTTTCAAACACCTATCGTCCTTATCTCCTCTCCTTTTTTTGTGTTTGTTACTCTTGAAACACCTCTAATCTTCTGCACTTATATTTATGACTTTTTTGTGTTGCAAGTGCCTAGCAATGCCCACCGAGGGCGTTTTGTTCTGCCGAATTTTGGCCCCCGCAGCTGGGGTGTTTTGTGGGACGCACAAACGCAAAGGTTGTTGTCTTCAACTCGCTCTCACGCCGCTTCTCGTGGATGGATATGAATGAAACTTGGCAGCCAATCAGAAAAGAGGTCAATCTCGTAGTATGCAGTTTGACAACATTGTACCCATCCTAGAAGCAGTCGAAAACGTTTGCGAAAGTGGTTGATGTGGTGCTCTTTGAAGATTTTTCGGAGCTGTGATTTGTCAAACTGACTGATACATTGTACACCATTTTTCTTTATTCCCTTAAAATTTCAAGCTTCTGTGTTTAGCGGTTTTCGCGTAATCTTTAAAAATGTGGGAGTAACTAAGGGAAAAAACCGAATCGCCATTTGCGCGTGCTGGGTGAACGTCCGGCGGCTGGGAAATTTCCACTGTTGACGTCATCAGCCATTGGTCGCCCTACAAACGATGCCCCGCTTGTGAACTGGAAAGGGGGGGGGGGGGATACTTGAAAACTAAACGGGGGCCTTGATAATTTGCGTTTTTGTTGCATTTTTGTCACAATACAATAGATGTAGTCATTTTTATTATTCTTGATTGCATGATAGAAGAATAGAAACAGAAAAGCAAACATCTTGAGAAGTGGTATGGCATTGTGTTTGCGTTATGAAAGCCTATTCCCCCCTCTTGGGAAAGCACACACTTGGACTCGTCCTGTGTGCTCTGTTTGGAAAAGTGAGGCATTAAAATTGTTATTACTCTGTTTGGAAAAGTGAGGCATTAAAATTGTTATTAAAGAGTATGGTACTTATTTAGTCCAGTCTGGGAAGATAGTCCCGTTTATACATTGTTATCGTTCACGCGTGAGAGAGAGAGAGAGAGAGAGAGAGAGAGAGAGAGAGAATTAATGTTACATTTATTGTATGAGTTGTAGCTTACACATGCGAAATATTCCCATGACTTGTTGTAAACTATATTATCTGAACGCATCTGAATCTACCACACAATAGGGCACTGTCCAATAATGGATAAAGAGGCGATCTTATTTTCTATAACAAAGTATGCATGCTTATAAATTACTAGTACAGGACTGGATTTATTAGACTAATAGATCCAGCTCTCTACTTACATTTTTGTGACAAATTGATCCAGAGCATTGCTTGGCAAGGAGGAACCTTTTTATGTTGCCCAGTTTCATTCAAATATAATGACTTTGGGAGAACATATATGAACTGATAATCTTTGTAAATCTGTAAAGAACGCCACTTTTTTACCTGTTAATGTCTTTACAACTCAAAAAGTATGACAGATATTAAAAATCTGACAGCATGACTAGATTTTTCATTAAAAACGTACTTGACTGCCAAGTTTCATTTACATATTCCAAGAAATAGGCGAGCTATGACAAATATTGTCTCAAAACGCACCGAAAACCGCCACATTTTTACCTATAAACGTCTTCATAACTCAAAAAATAGGATAGCTATGAAAAATCTGAAAGCAGGACTAGATTCTGCGCTAGAAAATGCACTGGGTTGCCAAGTTTCTTTTAAATACTCCGAGAAATGAGCGAGTTTTGACAAATATTGTCTCAAAACTCACCAAAGAACGTCCCATATTTTGGGGTTTTTTCATTATATAAAAGTGTACGGAAAATTAATTGATTAAAAAATCTGTAATTTTGTTTGTTTATTGATGGATTTCAAAAATTCAAAAAGTTCCATTCTCTGTGAAGATAAAGCTACAAAATGCACCTATTTGCAAACACAGTCCGGCAAAAAAAGGTTTTTCGTGGTCATTGCTAAAGTGCCGTAAAACTCTTACTAAAACTTCCTTGTTTGTGCCATTATTACTATCAGTATCAGCCCCTCAAATCAAGGCAAAGAATAAGTGTTCGATTGAGAAGGCTGTTAAATTCCTACTCCTACTGTTAGGAAAGCACCCATGAAATGCTAATCCATGGGTGTTCTGGATTTGTTTTTTCCTTCTTTTGTCTTTCCTATCATTATCAATTGCATCTATCGTCCTTATCGCTGCTTTTTTGTGTTTGTTACTCTCTTGTAACACCTCTAATCTTCGACCCTTATGTGACTGTATTGAACTTACTGCGTTGCAAGTGCCATAAAACTTTCACTTTAAAACTAAAACTAACTTTCCTACAACACATAAGTCCACAGTTTGTGAAAAGTAAAAAAGGAGCATCGACTTATTTAGCGCTCCTTCCATCCATCCCTGACGGTAAAATTGCATACTTATTATTCTGGGTTGGTGGCTTTTTTTTTATATTGAATATTTATTTTTAAACGAACATTTTATCAGAATCTGCAACCCCTCCCACCCCTCTGTCTGGTTTTTTTTGTGTGTCAGCCCTTGCATTATGTTTCGTATTTTGTCCAAACTCTGATGTGGAGTCATTATACTTCTTTCCTTTCAAACGTAGATCTATATTCCTTATCTCCCCTCCTTTTTTATGTTTGTTACTCTTGTAACACATCTAATCTTCTGGCGCTCAATGACCTTATGCCGTTGCGAGCGCCGTAAAACCTCTACTAAAACAAACAAAGCAAAACAAAACAAAGTCATTATATGCAGTCGAACCTGTAGCAAAGCATTATCTGCTGTCTTTGACAGGTCAAAACCCTTCACCAGGAAAGAATTTCTTTTTCTGTTTCTAGGCTGAGCTGATTTCCGTCATCGACATATTGTATCTATTACATATTTGGCAACTTGGGAACACATGGTGTCACTTTTCCCATAAAGCTACAGAGTTTAAAGTTGGCAAGTATCTGCAAAAAGATAGATAGATCCCCATGACGAAGCCCGTCTTTTGATTTATTCATTTCCTGAATTTAGAAAAATATATTTGACAAAAAGTTCCTTTGGCCTTTGATTATTCCACTGAGAAATGAAATAAATCTGCGTAGCTGTCCTTCACAGCCGAAGTGCTGGAAGTGATATTTCGTGAGGCGCATTTTGTTTTGAGAGTATAGATCTAGACCTTTTAATTTTTTGCATCTCTCAAGATTTATTGCTCCATTGCAGGAGAGTGTAAATACAGAAGCCCAATGACTTTAAGTTGATATTAATGCACTGATCCTTCCTTTCATCGAAAGGGGGCCCAGCTAGTATATATTACCGTAATAATTACGTAAATGTGTACTTCAGAGGAATCAATGAAAAAAGATGAGCGGGGAGATTCCATTATGACAGCTTTCTGTAAGGCAGGTTTGATTGTATTCGACTTTTACAAGAAACTGATTTTCAGATATAATTGGAGTGAAAATGGTCACACCTCACTGCTTTGCATGGTTTGATTTTGATGGTCAGTTGTGGAGTTTGAAAAGACAATATCAAGTTTCGTAGAATGTTCAGGAGAGCAGAAAAAAAAATCTTTGCCTCTCAAGTCAGTTGCTTTGAATATCTTCAAAGCACTTTCCTTTTCTTTATTTAAGATACTGATACCAGACAAGCGCAAAAATGTGCGCCATGTTTAAACTATCAGGCGGAATTGATGACTTAGTTTCATCCGATTTTGGATATACCGACTACTTTCTGTTTGTATGTATGTATGGTATAAGGTTTTTACGGCGCTCGCAACTGCTAAGGTCATATGAGCGCGCGACTTTCTGTTTACTAATTAAGGATTAGCTGAGTATTGATATAATTTTTTCTCTAGGTGTTAGCCCCACTACCATTGTTAAGAGTTGTATGGAAATTTATGTTACTGCTTTTTCGTAATCTTTCAGGCACTTGCATTGCGTGACGATTAATTTGTATTTGTATACATGAAAGCTCAGTTCTTGAACTGGTCAGCATGTCAACTGTCATCTTTCATCTTGAGTAATGTGCATTGTGCTTTATGCCTTGTCTTGTACAGGTGAGAAGCCCCCAGGGACCACCTCGCTGGGAGACTCCAGTTTGGCCATCAAGTCCTACAAACGCTTTGAGCGTCAGAAGTGCAGTGATCTCATTGTGCTTGGTCTTCCTTGGAAAAGCAATGAAGAAGATTTACGGAAGTATTTCCAACAATTTGGAGAGCTGCTCATGGTTCAGGTATATATATATATATATTTGTTAAAACGTTTGTGTTGCTTTGTGAAATAGACAAGACTGTCTGATTTTCTTGTTAGCACAAAATTATTGCTCGCAACATCATAAATGAATTCAGTTTTGGAAAGATGAAGGATGGTACCTGAATGAAAGTTTTTAATTGTCAGTGTAAGTCTTGTTCTTTGAATCTCTTCAGACAAGGTTCTTTGTTTTTTTTTAGTGGGGTATGAGTGGGGTGGATCTTTTCTCTTGCACATGGACACTCTGAACAGCTTGTAAGCTTTTTGCATAGCACTGCCAATCGGGCTTCCGCGCACTGCGAAATTTTGGTCCCCGTTTGCAGTGAATTTTTGGACCGGGTCGGAACGTAGGGGATTAATTTTCTCAAACTCGTGCTCTATTTCTGGACCAATGTGAATGAAACTTGGCAGCCAATCAGAAAATAGGGCAAACTAATGATACGTGAAAGTTTTAAGTTTGTACACATAAATTAACCTATATTTTTGGTGTAGGAAACGTTCGTATTGGGTGTACCGAAAACTATAAGGAGCTTGAATTTCAACGTTGAGATGGTAATAAGATCTGTCTTTCCTCTATAGTGTCCTCAAATTTGAACGTTCTGTGTCAAGTAGTTTAGAATCTACTTATATATATAAAAGTGGACTTGGGAGACTTTGTGCACAAACTCCTTCCTTATTACCTAACCAACGCCTTTGAGACTTTGTAGGCGTCCACAGTATCCATGTGGCAAGGACCTAACTTTAAAAAATCCACGCAAACTGTTTTCCCTGATTTTTGCTAAATTTTTTTGTTTCGTCTAGAGTTTTAATCTTAGGAAAGTCCGTCTTCTAAGACGCCATTGTAAACAAGTGAGGTTTCCGTTCACTAGCAGTGTGCATTGGTCCCACACCTTTGAAATTGTGGAGTGTACAACCTCGAAAGCAGAATAGAGAATCGAATCTATACATCTATTATATATTTGGCAACTTGGAAACACATACATGTGTGTCACTTTTCTCTCAAGATTTATTGCTCTATTCCAGTAGAGTGTAAAAGTAGGCCAGTGACTTTCAGTTGAGTTAAATGCACCGATCATTTCTTTCTTCGAAAGGGGGCCCAGCTAAATAAATGCACCAGTACTCCCCTGTCCAAAGCGGCTTCGCACGGAGACCGGCCATTTTCCCCTCACTCCCTCGGCAAATGTATTTGACCTACAAGTCCCGGCATGATTATTCTGAGCCCGTTGATTGATCACTTGAAATAGGGCAACGGTGGGCACGTGTCGTGTTGTTTTTCCCTCTGTTCCCCTGTAATATCGTAATGGGGGTATTCTGAGGCGGGCTTATCTCACCTCAGGGTGGTTATGTCTCAATGGGAAAAAAGTTTAAATAAATTTTACGGTATAATAGATTGAATTGAATTATATTTTACGGTAGGCAGGGTCTAAAGTCATCAAAGAAAGCTTTGCCATTATTTAGTCACACTGCCAACGTATTCTTGAAGTTCCCATGCTGTGATATTTTGCTATAAAATAAAATTATGCTCTCATCCCGACTGCCCTTTTTCGCTAAATCGTAATAAGTACACCAAAATTTTAATTATAATAAAATAGCTAGGAAATGGTGAGTAAATCTGACAGCAGAAATGATTTTGCCACCCAAAAACACATTAGATAGCTAAGTTATTAATTACTACTGAGGTGTCGTCAATTTTCTTCGAGAATCTGCTGTTACATGGTCCACTTTTTTGGAGTGTTTTCCTATATATATGTGGGTCATCCATATTTTGCCGACCTTTACAACTGCATAACTCTTTTATTTATGAACCGTTTCTTTAAAGCCAAAAAGCATAATTCTTAGAATTGAAAACTCTTTCTCTTAGGTACCAAATGAAAAAAGGCTAAAGCGAAAAATTAATTTTTCATTGACATTGCTACTTTGCCACAAGCTGAAACAAACACGACTGTATTCTTGACACCTGCACTATTTTCACTCATGTACGACCTTGTTCAGTTACGAGCGGCGTAAAGCTCTTATTAAAACTGACCTGCACCATTGTACTCATCAGGTCAAGAAAGACCCGAAGTCGGGACAGTCGAAGGGCTTTGGATTTGTCCGTTTTGGTGAATACGAGTCTCAAGTGAAGTGTATGTCCCAGAGACACATGATTGATGGACGATGGTGTGATGTGCGCATTCCCAATTCAAAGGTACGTTGGGTCAGGGTAATGTTTCTCATGATCTGACAGCACTCGAAGTACTTTTGTGTGCCTGATGTGCTCACTGCTGGCATGGAATTGCCACCGGTTCTTCTAGTTTTCAGTGCTCTCAGTACTGTCTTTGCAATGAACATTGATATAATGCGTATGTGAAAATATTGAGTTTTTGGTGTACTCGCCATTTAGACTGTTCTGAGCTGTCTTTGCTTGTATGCTGTCGGATTTTTTTTTCTGGTAAAAATTGCAACATTGCATTTTGTTGTGTCTCGCAATGGATACTTAGTGTGAATGCCATGACTGTGCACAAGAGTTTATTCATGTTTTGCTTCTTGCTTAGAAATGTCTGTGAATCATCTCATAAAGAAGGCATATCCCAGGACAGTAAAATATGGGTATATGGTTTAAAAAAAGAATTGTGTTTTGTGTTCTTAGGGGTTGTAAGTGGTTGTCGGGTGCTCTGGTGTAGTTTGCTCCTTTTTTTTCGTGCCATTGTACATTTATCGTCCTGATCTCTCCTTTTTTGTGTTTGTTACTCTCTTGTAACTCCTCTAATCTTCTGCACTTATGTGACCTTATCGTGCTGCAAGTGACATAAAACTCTTATTAAAAACTAAAAGACCCCCCCGGGGCGGTGCCACTGACTGAAGTGTCTTTAGGCCATTCCCAAAAGGGGGTCATTTCTCGTTCTAATGCTTAGTAATGGGCTGATCCAACGTCATGCTGTTGGTTTTGCTTTCCTAATCCTTACTCGTCATTTCCTTTACATATTTTGTATGTTTGTCACACTCTTGTGACCCGCTATTTCCGGGGTGCCTTGATAATAGAAGCAGACTTTGTGCTATTGAAGCTAGAGAGGTGAGCAGAGTAACCCTGATTCCCTGTAAGGACTTCTCTGTTTACATCCATCCCTTGGCGCTTATATGACCTTGTGCAGTTGTGAGCGCCGTAAAACCTCTACTAAAACTAAAAAACCTCTTCTAAAACGAAACCCCCCAAAAAACTAAAGGGGTCGCCATTTGTAAGTTGAGTCTGGAGAAGACGGGGGGGGGGGGGGGGGGGCTGTTTTGTATTGTTGATAAGTCCAACTTTGTTGTCAACTTATTTTCTTCTTTACGGCATTGGATTTGTTTCTATTTGCTTAAATGGAAAATTACAGATGTGTGCTTGTAGAGATGAGGTGGTCTACGAGAGAGAGAGCAGGTATTTAACAGGAAATAATTTTGATGTATGCCATAAGTCACGCAGTGTCCGGTCAAGATCATCCATCTTTTATCATCTGTTCTAGGAAGGAGCTCAGCAGATGATGAATCGCAAGGTGTTTGTGGGGAGGTGCACGGAGGACATGACGGCCGAAGACCTACGTCACTACTTCAGCAAATTCGGCGAGGTGGTGGACGTTTTCATCCCCAAGCCCTTCCGAGCTTTCGCTTTTGTCAGCTTTGCTGACCCGGAGACTGCTCAAACCTTGTGTGGGGAGGACCACATCATCAAGGGGGCTAGTGTCCACATCAGTGGCGCCGCTCCTAAGGCCAGCGAGAAGTAAGAACGTGTAGTCTGTCACTGCTTCCACTCTTTCTCTCTTTCTCTCTTTCTCTCTTTCTCTCTTTCTCTCTTTCTCTTTCTGTACGTCTGTTTTGCCCTTTCTTTCTTTGCAGTAAAAAACTGGTTTTGGATGCTTTTTCTGTTTCTCTCCCCCCCCCCCCCCCGATATTTCTAGCTTTTTCTGCTGAAATTTTTGGTTATTCTGAGCATTTGTTTTCTGTTTAACCACATATTAGTTTTATCTATTAACAGTCTTGTATTTTGCAAATGCAACCTTGTAAATACTCGGTTATTCCTACAAAATGAGTGACATTTCGTATTGTTAATTTGTCAAAGTGCCGCTCTTTTCACAAACCAAAGGAACAAACTAATACTCTCGTGGTTTGGGTCATTCCTTTATGACGACTTCGATGTCAAATTAAGTTTCCACAAAGAGGTTATATTTAGTTCTAGAATTCGTGACAGTGTTGTCTTCCACGTAAAAGAACGGGGGCTGTGTGTGCCCACTCTAAGACGCTGAATCTCAAGGGCAGGACATGCGTAGTTCAACAGATGGGTGAGTACTTTTCGAGACTCACGTGGAGGCGTCTCGGCTGTCTTAAGGGGAAATCTACAAGCTTGCTCTGAAATATGGGGGCAGGGTGGTGTGTAATATACTAGAGCCATAGCTGCCAATTTTCCACTAGATAGCGGAAACTCGGCTTCCTCTGCTTCATCTAGCTTTTCGTGCCACTTTCCTCCGCTGGATCACTCTCGGTAGCAAATTGTGTTACTTTTTTTACAAGCGGAAAACACCGAACGTAAACGCGGCCTACGCCTGTCCCCTTGTAGCTCACTACTTGCGTTCTGTGCGTAATGCCTAGTGTTAAAGTTTCACGTTGTTTATTGTGGAGCGACGGGTCGATTGTCGATCGAGCCTATGGTGCTCAGAGTTGTCAGTGAAAACGGTGGAAATTCGAGAGAAATTGATGCTGAATGCAAAAATAATTGGAGCTAGATTGAGAAAGAAGCAGACGGTGTGTGACTGCAACAGTTCCTTCGAAAGTTGGACGAGCCAGTCGTTGCACTTTGCCTTTTGTGCGATAAAGAAATCACGTACTTCGTACAGTGGCAAAGGTCCAATACTGCTCTACATTGTTGCACAAGTCGAAAGTGAAAGAAATCTTTTTATGACACACTAGCCGGCCACTAACACTGGATTTTTAGTCACCGAACTGGATCAAATGCTTGTTAGTGTCTTGATTTGTTTTTTAAAAAAAATATGACACTTTCCCTTAAAAAAATATAGATGTTCCAAGATATTGCCTCTGAATCTCACTGGTTTTACTCCGGCCTTTGGAGAACGCGGGTACGCCTTCGTGTGAATTTCCTCTTTTTTAAAAATTCCTGAGTGGCAGCCTTGTAGAGCTTGTGAGGAATGGGGTGGGGGCCCAGGCTGCTCATGTAAATGGGGGCACGCTGGCCATGCGGATGAGGGTTAGAAGGCCCCCATTTCTGACATGTGTGACGTCCCTGCTGCGAGCTCTAGTGTTATATAACCTCTTTGTGTTTTCAGCAATTGATGAAAATGGGAGTTCTTTCATTGGATAAAGAACTGTCAAAATAGGTTCATTTGTTTTGATTTGATGACCAATTTAGTTTGTTTTAAGATTTTGTACCAAAAGAAGGCCCTGGCTTAGTGGGTTTACCACCCTTGGAGATAAAAGGGTTAAACAAAACCTTGATAGTGAAATGGCTTTGCCCCACAAAGTGGAGACCGGTGTTACTATGCTTTGTCCAGCTTGAAGGAAAACTCGGTGGTCGAAAATTAGAATATAGCTGGGAGCAAACAGAGACTTTGAATCATGTATGCGTATTCTCTTTCAGGTACGATCGTCGCATGGTCCCGAACCACGGTCACATGGCGTACCAGGGCTCGTGGGGGCCGGGCCGAGGCGGTAACCCCAACAGCAGCAGCAACATGAGCGTGGCCACCGGCATGGGCAACAACATGGGCATCGGTAACCTGGGCCTGGGAGCTTTGCAGGTAGGTGGACCGACTCCTTTGACTGCCGCTGGACCTCAGGTGCAAGGGGAAAGTGATAAAGGGCTTCCCATTTTTGTAGGGGGGGGGTAAAAAAACCCAAACAGACTGCTTTGCTGTTGTCTTCTCTTCCACTCTTTCCCAACTGGACTATTGGTTCAAAGGACAAATGATATGGGCCCACCTTTTTGTGGGAGATATAGCTGCTTCACTGTTATCTTCTTCTCACTCTTTCTCAACTGGACTTATTTTCCTCTATGCGACCAAGCCGTGGTGGCGTCCATTTTTCCCCTTCCTGTTTGTAGTATGAAAAATACTTACTTCTAATTTTTTTCAGAGAAACTAGAGTGATGTATGGTTTCTTTTTTTAAGCACAATGGGGCTATCCCGAAAAATGCTGTTTTGAGAAGATCGAAGGTAAAGTTTTTGCCCCTTGTTCAGTTTCTTTTACACATTACACCCTAACTCGCCCGGGACCGCCTGAGAATTCCTTTACGCGCTCCACCCTGACTCGCCCGGAACCGCCCGCGCTGACCTAGCGTCTTTAGAAACGAGGTCTCACCTTGACGAAACTCTGGGACCGAGATTTTGATTTGCATAGTTACAGCAAAAAGTTTCTTCTTTCGTTTGATACTGAAACGAAATTTTTCGGGCCAGCAGTTTAGACCTGCATGTTTGCCGACAATCGTCTGAAATCCGACAATCGCGACCCGACCCGCCAGCCAGCCGATGCTATCGCTAGGCCTACCTGTATCAGTCAATGTGGGTAGTGCGAGGCCTGGCCGACTGCCAGCGCCCCCTTTTTTTCCAGTCGGCTTTGTCGGCACTTTCGTTTTCGTGCCGACGTCGGCGTTTCCGACATAATTGTCGGAACCTGAGTAGAAATGCGAATACGAAAAAAAAAACGACGACCTAAATTATCTACTTTCAGTTTCGTGCTCAAGCCGCCATTTTGAATTTCGTTTGTTGACTAATTCAATTGTTCAGATCGTGTGGATTCATTCAAGTCCGACTCACTTGTTCTAATAGAATCTAGATCTAGATTTATATAGATCGTTATAGAACTCAATGGAGGATTCATATTCCAATTCTATTGTGTCAAACCCTATCATAGGTTGTGCTGTAATATTAATGTTGGTAAAAAAGCATTTGACCCGGTGCGTAAAAATGGAATTATTTATTTATTTAGAATCTAGACTCAGCTGAGTCCCTCTGTTCGGAATCGGATGCGGATTTCTAGTACAAGGCTTATTCCTATTCACTTGTTCTACAAGATCTAGATCTTGATTTATTTAGATTACTAGATCTATATAGAGGATTCAAATTCCAATTCTGTTTTGTTATTGTATCAAATCCGATTATAGCAATGTAGATGTAGGCCATATTATGCTCCTTGTTTGTTTTGGAGTCTGGTTTTTTAATTTTTTACATTTTTTCTTTTTGGACATGTGCTGGCCTTTTTACATGAGGCCCGTTGCAGGTTCTTTTTTGGGGTTGGCCTAGGGGTAGGATTAGGGTTAGGTCTCTTCTTTATTGTGTTTGTTGGGGTGGTTGCTCATTAAGTAGAGAAAGTTCTTCCTTATGACACCCACAAAAGCTCTTATGGGGGGGTTGCGTAAAATTTTCAATCTGGTTGAGGCTCACATGCAGGTCTATGTAGTTTTAGTATTAGAACTATTAGAGCCGATAGAAGTGCGATTGCTTTACCGACACTTCGTAAGGGTCTCGACTTGTTGACAAGCCACACAATTGAGTTCGAAAAAGGAAATAACGATGGAATTGAGCAAAAACAAGCATGTGACAAATCAGATGACTCGGATTTTGACGAAAACGTTGTAGCAAGAGTTTGGGGCGATTCAGATTGATCAGACGTAGAAAATCTAGAATTTAGATCTGGGACCCGACCGCGAGGCTGAGAGTGAGAGTGACGGGTCGGACACCCCGATTGAACCAAAGTTAGAACATTTCCAACAGTTTGCGCATACATAAAGTTTTATTTTTCTGAAACTACATTCATATTCGTTTTAACTTTGATTTTTTCAGGATTTTTGGAATTTGTTCAGTATTTTTAAAATGTGTTTTTTAAAGGCTAGTATTCACGGGAGGTGGGTTCCTTCCCCTTGCTTAGGATCTAACAATGGACTTCCCGGCCAGACCCTTAGGGTGTAATGTGCTGAAATACAAGGAGAGTTTTGTCAAGAACCAAACAAATGTACACACCAATGAAACCAAACTTCTCCTATAGGTAGGGCAGTGCCTACTTTTGGTTTAGGTCAAGATTTCTGGAAACCCCCGAAATCTGGGTTAGCCCACTTGTCCTTAAAAGCGACCATATATATCATAATGTGGGGAAATTTAATTTCTTATCAGAAAGTTTAACCCTATAGTGGGCAGATAACTGATAAGCCATGTCTACTGCACTGTTCCACTTCCTGCCCAGCTGACCTTGCCTTGTGTGTTTACATTATTTTGGCTTCTGGCAGCTTTGTCTAGGGTGGTTCAGGAAAAAATGTATTTAAAATGTACTATACAATCTACAACTTTCAAATTTCTCATGACAACAGAGAAATGAATGCTCTATGACATTCTGTCATTTAAAAAGTGTTATTTTTGTGTGCATTAGATTTATAGCACATTGATTCACACCTATAAGTGCAAATATGTTGTTATGTCACAATGTGGATATATATGACAAGCATTTGTACCTCTAAACCACAGTTTTTAAGAGGCAGGACCACATAATTTATAGTTCATCACCACCTGGGTGCTAAGTCATTGAATGGCTTTGAAAAATCCCCACCCATACCAAATAAAGAGCCAGATATACCCACGGCAGTGTCATCTTCACCGAGCAATAGTAATAATAGACTAGTTCATATTACATGATACCAGCTGGCCTTATGGCATACCCAATCAAAGAACAACAATTACAATAACGTATAAAGTCAGAGAAAGAAAAACTAAGGATTGAAATAAAGGAAAAGTTTAATAATGTAAAAACCAACTTACAGTACAGTTCTTGCGAAGTCCACATATATAAGAATTTCACAACACTATAAACTTTTTGCACACAACACCAATTCACATACTACTAATACTACACACATTGAAAAAAAAAATCAAAGTAAACTGTATAAAAATACAGGTAAGATAAAAAAAATGTCACTCTCTCAGTGTTCTCGTGGAAGCCCTGTGGATGGCAAGGCCAAGTTCATGGTACCTTCCAAAACATATGAGTTTACAGAGGGCAACTTCGCAAAATTTGCACTTGTAGCTCGTTTCTACTGGACGGCCTTTTGGAGTTTTCCTCGCTTCTAAACTACACAAAACACAGTTTAGGCCGCCCAGCAATACGAGTGAAGTGATGCCGTTGGAAACTCTCCGGGGCCACAGTCCCCTGGATAGTTGCAGGCCGTCCGGGGAGTTTCCTCGAGCTAAAACCATTCACCAGAGCCTCGGCAACATCTACACGGAAGCTCAAGTGATCGTACCCCTTTGCTGCGACGTAGTCACGAGGAGTCTGGCTCCAACACACATACGCATTATAGATGGAGGCGTTGATGAGGTGCCAAACGATGTACCTCCACCATTTTTTGCCAGGTCTCCCAACGGGGTAGTACGAGAGTTGTTGGTCGAACTTGTCGACCCCACCCATGTACTTGTTGTAGTCGATAAGTGAGTGGGGCCGACCATCTGCTGCAACACCAGCAATCTGATTTGAAGATAATACACAAATTGTTCTCTTGTCATGATATAACGTGGCAACAAGATTGCCCTTTTGAAGTTGCCTCACATCTCCCCTAGTTTTTAGTTTTGTCTTCATCAGTGGAGGGAGCCCTTTCCTGTTTGTCATGATGGTGCCACACATATATGTATTGTTTGCACACAAATGCACAGCGATGTCCACAGAATTAAAAAACCTATCTATGTACACATGATGGCCTTTGTCGTAATACGACGTACACAGGCCATCCACCACTTCAAAGCCGAGAGGTTTCCGAGGATCCCTTCGGCTGCTTTTCCCTGTATAAATATCATACCCAAGACAGTATCCAGTTTTAGAGTCGCACACAGTCCAAATTTTAACCCCCCATTTAGTAGGCTTGGCAGGCATGTACTGCTTGAAGGACAACCTACCCTTGAACCCTACCATGCACTCGTCCACACTCAACTCCCGGCCAGCCTGAAAACAGGCTGTGAATGTTTCCTTTGTAGCGTTAATCACATTTCTCACTTTGAAGAGGGGATCGAAACCCTCCTCTCCACGCTGCGGCTGGTGCTGGTTGTCCCTGCAGTGAAAATACCTGCTGAGATCCTTGAAGCGCTTGATCGGCATGATGGAGGAAACCCAAGGATCGTTGAAGCGACGGTCCTGGCTCCAGTAACACCAGAGCCGAGGCAGCTGCCGAACGCCAAACATAATCTGGATGCCCAGGAAGGCTCTCATCTCCGCTGTTGTAGTTGCTGTCCAACTGCTGGCGTTCTCCGGTCCCAAACACTGCTGGGCGTACCGGTTCGTTTCTGCCACCAGGATGTTTACCAATGTCAGCGGAAACAGGAGGAGGAAGAAGTCCAGGGGGCAGGCGTTTCGGGCAAGGTCGTGCCGAGGCCCAGACTAAGGCTGAAAGTCCAGCATCGTAATGTCGGACACCTCTTCCCTCCATGCCGCACCTTGATTATTTCCTTCAGTGGTAGCGGCAGCAGCACCACCATCACCAGCCTCAGGCTGCAGAAAAATAAAAGAGTAAACAGAAGATAAGACACAAGTAAAATAATTTTGTAATTGTCAGAGTGAAAGTATAGCAGTTGGCACAAAGAAAACAGCAAAAGTGAAAGAATGTTCAAAGAAGGTTGACCATGAACATGATTGACTAACTAAATCTAGATTCTAGATCTAGAAAAGAATCTAGTTCAAAGTGTGTAGTACTAGATCTAGATCCAGGTGTAAGTTCTCATACAAAACAAAAGATACACCATGTACAATAGAATTGTAATAATTTAGTCAGTCTGAAAGTAGAGCAGTCGCACGAATAAAAGCAAGTGAAAAAACAAAGAATGTTCGCCACGGAAAAGACTAGATCTAGATCTAGATTTAGTTCAAAGTGTAGTACTAGATATCTAGATCTAGAATCTAGATCTAGATCCAAGTACAAGTATAATGTTCGCAACGAAAAAACTAAAGGTATAGATCTATAAATATAACCAATGTACAATGGAATTGTAATTGTCATTCTGAAGGTAGAGCACTTGGCACAAAGTAAACAGTAGGCTTAGAATTCTAGTGAAAGAACAAAGAGCAAGAAAGTTGACCATGGAAGGCGGCTAGATTTAGGTCTTGAAAAAAATTCTAGACCCAGGTAATCTAGATATAAATAATATAATCTATGAACTATTAGAAACAGCACATTCTCAACATGAGAACTAGATTCTAGATCTAGATCTAGATCTAAATGAAATTCAAGTGTAGCATTTCTAGGAATAGATGAAGCATCATGCTCCATAGCGAGCTGTTAGTTGACCTCTGTGTGTGCCTATCTCCAGTCCACCTCTCCCAGCACACAACAACAAAAAACTAACTTTTCACTTACCTCCTCATCAAATACAGCATCCTCCGTGTCTATAACATCAATGTCAGACTCAGCATCAAGCTCTGTGTCACTTCTTCTGTCTTCCTCCATCGTGTGGTGTTTTCAAAAAGCAGTAGATAGGTAGAGAACGTCGGTCGGAGCAGCTGATAGTCAGAGTCACGAAACAGCGAGTGTTTTGAAAGACGCGCAAACCGTTCAACCCCAGCTGTTTAGCGGTTTATTTGGACCGGAGGTATCCCATAATATCCTAGATGACATCATGACTATTTAAAGACACGGGAAGTCATTCTTTGTGGTTAGAAGTTAAATTGAATGTACGGGGGTGTGTCGTCCCGGTTTCTCCCGGGTCGGCCGTGCAGCGCGGGGTCAGATCTCGCCCGGTTTCTCCCGGGTTAAACGCGTAGCGGTTCTATTTTTAGTCCCGGTTTCTCCCGGGTTACACGCTAGAGGGTTAAAGAAAAAATTGTAAAAATTAGTCTGGGTTTGAAATGGTGGTGTGGTACCTGTCTAAAGACTCTGGAGTGGAAGGGATGAAGTATTTTGTAGCTTCCAAATGGTCGCTTTAGGGCTAACCCAGATTTCAGGGATTTCCAGAAATCTTGATCTACTCTAAAAGTGGGCATTGCCCTACCTATAGGAGAAATTTGGTTTAATTGGTGTGTATATTTGTTTGGTTAATAGTGTTTACTATAGTTACAGGTCACTTTTTCTGTCTTATGAAGGAGTACGTCCTTATCTCTCCTTTTTTGGGGTTTGTTACTCCTTTGTAACACTTCTAATCTTTGGTGGGTATTTGGCGGGTGCTCTGGTGTGGTTTGCTCCTTCCTTCCTATTCTACATCTATCTTCCTTATCTGCCCTCCTTCTTTTTTCGTGCTTGTTACTCTTGTAACACCTCTAATCTTTGGCACTTACATGACCTATTGTGTTGCCAGTGCAGTAAAACTTTTACTAAAACTAAGTATAATCTTCAGCATTTATGTGACCTAATTGTGTTGCAAATGCTATCAAACAAAACTAACTGACCATCTTTATCTTCTAGAGTTGATGCGTTTTTCTTAACTCAAACATACAGTAGAACTCGAGAAAGACTGTGTCCCTTACTTTCTCGTGAGAAGAATCTCATAAACTTGGGCACTTAACTCTTTTTATCCCGGCTACGAGTATACTCGTAACGAGGACCAGTCCGGGCTACGAGTATACTCGGAACAGCGATACGGTCTCGTCAAAGAAGCTAGTTCTGCTTGTTATTACCAAAATACGCAAATACGGCGATGCTAGCTCTGTCTGAATATTTTAATTTTCCAATTTTCTTTGTTTTTGATGGGTGTAGAAGCTTGAAAGATGTCTCGAAAACGCACATTCACGACCGACGAAGTACTTTTTGAAGTTGCGCTGGGTTGTGAGGGGGAATGATACTAATTTGATGATAGTGACTCTGAAATAAGTGCCGTAAATTCCGTTGTGGATGATAAAAAACATGACTTAGACTCATTTAGATAGCGATTCAGATCATGGTGAAGGGGTCAGTACTGGAATTCGTGCTCGATGGGTAGGGCTAGATCTAGATATGTATAAAATCCAGTGGGATGTCGTGGGCGCCGCAATCAGGGTCAAGTTCGAGGGTGGAATACACCTCAAAGTCTACATTGTGCTATTGGTGTATTTCCTAACCACATACATTAAAAAAAAAACTACATTCAATTTCTAACATAACTGCCAAATTTCCTTTAAAACCGTAGAGTAAAAGTAAGAAATATAGCACTTTGAACTATACGCACTGACTTCCGACTCATACGGCGCGGCAGCCCCAGGATGGGTACAGAGTCCGTGGGGGTACGGCTAGGATAAAAAGAGTTAAGTGACTCAATGGTGGTAGTGTAAATGAACCTTTGCCTTTGTGGGTGTCCTCTGCACTGTCTCTGCTGTGTGCACACATGATGAGAGCTTTGAGTGGTGCTACCACCCCCACACCCCACTATCGTGTGTGTTTTCTATGTGCTCCCCCTACCTCCCATGTGTGTTCTATTGCTGCCCCCAGCTCTTTCCATCTTCACACCATGTGTGTTCTGTGTAGCGCCACCCCCCCCACACTATCTCTTCCCCCACCCCCTTTCAATCAATGTATGTATTGTGCGTTGGCAGCATGTCAGAGCTCTCATGATATGTGTTTTCCCCTTCCTTGTTTTCTCCGTACGACTATGAAGCAGCCGCTCCTGTTTTCAGCCTGTTGTCTGGTCTTCTTACTTTCCAGCTCAACCATGCCATGCTGGCAGCGGCCCAGGCAGTCCTGAGCAGCCAGACGGGCTGGGGTCCGCTTGGCCTCACCCATCAAAGTGCTGGGGCCACCACCAATGGGGACCCTCTGGCGGCGGTCACTACCACTGCTGCTCCACATAGCATGTCGGCCAGCGGGGGCGGCTCCTCCTATGCTCCGGCCGCCCCCATGGGCGGGACGGGCACGGCGGCCAGCAACGGCAGCGTGGTGACCCCCGGGGCAGGGGCCACGGCCAACAACAGCTTCCTGGGCTGGGGTAGCCAGACGACGGAGATGCACCCGGCCCCCGTGCCCCAGCACACGGTGGCCACCAGTCAGATCCCCAACTGGAGCTCGGTGCCTAAGGCCACCTCGGGATGGAACTGATTGGATTGGATGGGTGGGTTGGTTGGTTGGCTGTGGCTGGCTGTTTTGGTGTCGCTGATGTTGCTGTCGCGTCACTGCTGCGTTGTGTGTGGTGTGTGTCGTGTGTGCGTGTGGTGAGGAGGAAGAGGAAGAGGGTGGATGGAGCTAACCTAGAAGCGCAGCCCCTCCCCTCCCCCCCTCTGACTCGATGATATGATTGATGATTTGATGGCTGATGGTGATGATGATGATGATAACGGTTACGGCTGTTGTGGATGATGATGATGATGATAATGATGAGATGACAATGAGGATGTGGTGATGATGAATTTTGTTTAATGTTGTTTTGTCTGTTTTTTTTTTTTTAAAAAGAATTTGTCTTGATAATTAGTGTGCGTTTGTTTAATGAGTTTGTTTGCTTTTTGCGGGGAAAATTTGAGTGGCTGTTTAAACAGGGGTTGGGTTTTTTACCGTCCCCAACTCCCTTTGTTTCCTTCTAGTTTGTTTCTGCTTTTCTCTGGTTTTTTAAAAATATTTTTTTTAAAAAATTTATTTATACTACTATTTTTAAAGCTAAGATTTGATTGCATGATGCTGTTTTATTTTCTCCTTCCTTTTTGTGTCAGAACTCTCTTGATATATATATATATATATGTATCTGCGTTATAGCTAAAGATTGAATACTACTCCTTTACTTCGCATGAAAAACAACCTCATTCTGAATTGGTTGGGGGAATGTAGTGATCTTCTCTAAAGTAAAGTATAGCTGAAGCTCGTGCTTTTGCCTTTTTAAATCTTTAGTGTATTTTCTTACGCTATTTTTATTTAACCTTTTACTTGGTTGAAAGTAGTAGATTTACGGCTCAATAGATGGGACTGGAAAGAAAGTCATTTGTACGATTGGAAAAAAACCAAAACATTTTTTGTGTGCAGAGATAAAATATATCTGATGAAAAGTGTGGAAGGATTCAGGTAAATGTTTTTTTTTTTTGTTGGAAGAGTATGTGGCAACAGGGCGTACGTATACTGAGGACTAACTTATGAGGCAAACACTTGAATATTCAGTATCGATATATGCATCCGTGAAATTTCCATTGATTTGATTCAATCTTTCAAAATGGCAAAAGACATATAAAAAGAAAGCAGTGCAGCTTACTCGGAGAAGAATGAGAGATCAGATTGAAAGTTGGAAGTAAGTCGTTGGGTTTTGCAAGAGTTTGTGGTACCAAGGGTTTTTTCCCATACTTGTTGAGCGTGTTAGGTACCCTGTGGTGATTACATCTCCCCTCCTCGGATGATCAAGTTGATGGAGGGCTGGCTATGTTTTTACCAATGTTCCCCCCCCTCTCCTCATAGACTCGGTGCTGTACCCCCCCCCCTCCCCCCCCCCCCCCCCCTCCTCAAGTTCATTGATTGACAGACTGCTTGCAGCATTTTTATTTACTCGTTGAAACTACTGATGATAATAATGAGATGCGTGCATGAGTTTTGTCCTCTTAACTCTAAAAAGAATCTGGATGACGTGGCGGTTGACCACAGGTTTTTTTTTTTGAGTGATGTTTTTACCTTGAGTAGTTTTGCTCAGCTCGTTGATACATGAGAGGGGATGAAGAGGACGACGAAAAAAAGTTGACAAATAGAGTGAGAGAAGTTCTGATGATGATGATGATAATGGTGATGATGTTGTTCTCTGGAGAGTGTGTTATAATGAGGGAAGATAGTGTCTGGGTCTTGTGCATGCTTTATACTTAAAGACGACTATGATGATGATGACGACGATATAACTCACTGCCTCACACTAGATATATGGGAAACCTCGAGATAATTTGCCTGTCGCTGCAAGGAAGTGTGTAAGCGGGCCTTGGAAGAACAGAGTACCGTTTTATATCGGGGACAACCAGTGACTCTTGTATTTCATGGTGTAAATTCAGCATTTACCTCATAGTTTTTTGTTTTTTTTAACAAAAATTTATCGTTTTGTGGAATGTTATGAGGATGAAGTTATATCTGGATGTACCTGCAGTCAGTTAGATTTTATTTTTGCCCTCCCCCTTCCATAGATTTTTTTCTTCTTCTCTTTAAAAAAAAAAAAAGTAAAAGATAGGTTGTCCATATTCATCTTTTTTTTTTTTTTCGTCTTGAAAATTGATTTTCCATGTAACATTTCTCTCCTCACTTTTGTACAGAAACTGTGCCTTGTTCTATCTCCTGAGATGGGAAAAGTGCACTGGTCTATCAGTTTGGCATCCCAGATTTTGAATGTAGCTAGTATTTTTTTAGTTACCTCCTTTTCTTTATTGTTGAATATATTTTGCTACAAATTTGAATTTTAAAACGTTTGGGTTTTTTGTTTGTTCGGTGATGTATTTAAAAACACTGTTTTTTGTCTTGATTTTTCTTTTGTTTTTGTTCTTTGACTCTGCTATTGCAATATGAATCTTGAATGTATTGCTCTTGTTTTAATGTGAAGTTCCCATGTGTATTGGTGTATTCTGATTCTATGGTATCAGTGATGTTTGTGTGGAAAATAATGAACATTATGATATAGTCTATACCAAGGAAGCGATAAAACTGTGTGTATATATAGTGATGTCAGTGTAGGTCTCTCAGTGTCTCTCTGTCCTGTCTGCGAGTCTATTCCTGGTTGGTTTCTTCTTTGAAATTAAAAAAAAGAATAAAAAAAAAAAAGAAATATTTCAACAACTGATTGAGACTTTGCGATAAGTACAAGTGATGGAGATGTTTGTGGATTGTGTCGCCTGAAAGGGGAGAGACACTGGAATGTGTGTGCTGGATGACTTGGATAGACACAGCTCTTTGTACAAAGGAGGAGGTGTACTCTAAAAGTGAAAAAAGACTTGGGGGGGGGGGGGAGAAGATGACCTGTTTTTGCAGAAAGATCTAGCTTGAATGAAGAGATCCTACTGTTTTGGGGTTTGGTTTAGAATGCGGTTTTGACTCGGCAGTATTCGGAACAATGTTTGAAGGGGAAAAGATCGTTTGAGGCGATGTCAGCTTTGGAATGAAATGAGATGTTGCCGCGGCAACGTTGTCTAGTGGTGAAGCGTCAGCATGGTGGAAATGAAGAGAGAGTCTAGAGAGAGACTAGAGAGAGTCTGTTCCAAATTTCTTCAGCCTTGAGACTAGGAGACTAGTTCTCTGTGAGGTCGGAGTGGAGTTGGGAAATTGCCCACATTGGGTTTAGTATTGTGTGCGAGCTCGTCTGGCTATCCTTGACCTATGACCCCATGCCCCCCCCCGCCGCCGTGTGATGATCCAGAGAGTGGAGAGTATTGCTAGTAGTGGTGACCGTGTAGTGGTGAACTCTGTGCTAGTGGTGACCGTGTAGTGGTGGACTCTGTGCTAGTGGTGACCGTGTAGTGGTGAACTCTGTG